TAGTTTAGATTTTAAAGCGGTACACCGGAGGCTTTGGTGTCTGCTGACGTGCTGTGAGGTTGGCGAGATGACCCGGTCCTCCATAAAGGGGAGTGGGGTGTTGGGTAATGGGGGCCGGAACCTAAAGCGAGGCAATGTGCACCAGAATCAGAGTTTGGAAAAGGGGAAGAAGAAACTGGAGCCAGTCTGTGAAACACCCTACTGCGCGGAAGCTCGTCGCGCTGTTGCTGATGGGGAGGAGGAGAAGGTTGATGATGATGGGCTTGGAGTAAAAGGGTGCCTAAATACAGAATTCCTATGGTAGTGACCCCTGGTCCAAGGTCAAGAATTTGCGAAAAAAGAGAAGGCCGATAGGGGGAAGGCAGTGGAAGGACCCTGGACAGACCGCTGTTGGGAGTTGTGGTGGTGGCTGAGCTGAGATAGTCGTTGTGGTCGCCATACCTATACGAGAATAAGGCGTCGTCAACAGTGTGTGGGAGCAGCAGGGCGGCAGACACACAAAGACGAAACACACAAACTAAACTTAACTTAAAAACAAACACCAAACTCCCTTCCCAATGCGCCTCTTTTTGGCGGTCAGGTTTGGACTAAACGGCACACGGTGACCGTGTATTCATGTCAAGTCTACCAAACCCCTGAACCTGGTAGTCATTCTAGTAGATTCTAGATGATTGCTTAGGAAATCCTGCCTGGGCAGTCAGCTTACTGTATCCGTAATGGTGGATTCCGTACGAGCAGTAAGTTGAGCGGGTAAAGTCGATCCAAGTGTGATTAAATTTAAAGTTTCGGCGCGGATTCGTAGCTCAATGGTAGAGCGTTGGCTGCGCAAATGCCTTCCCTGCTGTATGGGTTCGACCTCCACCGTAGTTTTTCTTACAAGGCCCTCTACCTACGGGGAAAGAAACTGTTGGCCAAGGGGGCAGCAAATTTGGTGAAAACGCTACAACGCTTGTCCATTTTGTGTGCGTGCCCAAAGGTGAGGTGATACACCAAAGCTGCTAAATCTAAATTGCCCTAGGACAAATGCCCGCTGCCTACCTGAAATGCGCCTCTGTAGTGACTAGCTCCACACCAAGTGCACTTGTGAACGCTTGTAGTGACTAGCTCAAATCGAAGTGTTCTTTAGGAACGCTTGCTGCTTCCGGCCTCTGTAACAGCCAATCACAGGCCGACTCACATAGGACCTTATGTGACGACTGCCGAGCAGACATCACTTCAGACGCCGTCCGCTGGCTTGCAGTCGGTTGAAAGTCAATTTCCTCTTGCCTTTTCTTCGATTTCTTCTGTACACAATAAACTCTGGTCTCCCATCACTTTTCCTCTCCTAAGAAACCGGACCCGCAGATCGCAGTTGCCAGGGTTTAACTTACTTAACCCACTGCTATACCCTCACAAAGGTTAATGCGGCGAGGAATACAACATAATTAATCACGCGCAAGAGCAGTCATTCAAAATTGCCTGTTATTCACTCGGGGAATAAAATACCATACCAAATACCCAGCATAGAAAGTACTTGTACCGACATCCGCTACTGCCAAGCGAAGGGTAGAACTTTATCGAATTCTATAAGTCTCCTTGTTTGACACTGACGGTATAGGGTTTAAGGGTGCAGCTGTTTCGTTACTAATATGATACATGTCGCCGGACATTCCCCATATCAGCGATGAATGAATATAAATTAAACTGAGTCGGAACCCATGCCTTGGCTGTTATGACGAGCCTAACGAACAGTAAGCAGGCAGTTAGCTTGCAAGCGCGAGTCGAGCTCGCGGCAGGCTATCGATCGACCTACACACGGCGAACGCATACTAGCAGTCAAGCAATCGATAATTTAAAATTCAAGCTACAGTCACAAGCTAATTGTGTCGCTACCCATGCCAGGACAGAAGCTGATTGGCCCGATGAACATAGTTTTATACGCGTTTGTTGCCCTAACTATGTTGTGCCAATTGCGCCCAAAGACTTCTGTTTTGCGCTCTTCTTGTCGTGTTCTTCCCTGAGGACTCACACAAGACGTAATCAGGCAGTGACATCTCGGCTTTGGCTACCGTTACAACATTGGCTAGGTTTGTCTGCGGGGGCAGAAACCTAAACAATCTATCAAACTCGAGAGCGAAACTCATTTCCAACTGTATTAAAGGAGATTCGGGAGGTGA